GTGTGTGTGTGTGTGTGTGTGTGCCTGTGTCCGCCGTTGAGTCTTGCTCCTAGGACGTGAGTCCTCGGTCGCCTGCAGCTAATCAGTGAACTGATGCAGTTTTATTGGCTATTTTTCGCAATACAAGTGTTTCACATGACGAGGTCGGTGCCGGAACAAATTAAACTTGTTAACGGAGGTTTCACTGTACTAAGCTTTGAAACGGAAACTTTGACGGATTTCAGTAAAAAACTATAAGAGCAATAAACTATAATGCTCAGGTTTTTACCAACTCTCACGCACTCGGCAGCCGCGGTAGGTAGAAGAGTATCAGGACAAAATGATCTGGCCCCAAAGTTACAGCATGCAATTATGATGGCACTAGAGTTCAGATGAGGCAGGATATCAAGGTCTACAGCAGCAGAGGCTGCGCAGCCTCAGGCCACTGAACTCGAGTGGAAACGGATAAATTATGCCAGCCGACCTGCACCTAGACGCGCTGCTGCCTCCTCTTCTGCGCTTAATCGTCTAGACTGGTCTCGTCTGGCCAAATTCAACCAGACTGTCACCATTTAGAGCGAATATAACTGCAAAAAAATAAAATGCGGAGCCGAAAGCAGTAACAAAAAACCAAAAACCATTCTAATCTGAACAACGGCGGACGTAGACGTAAGGTTAGGAACTTGCTGGTCGGACACCCATGAAAACACTGGCAACCGCAGGCCGCTGCCAAACTCAAAATTGCGATTCGGTGCGGACCGCCATAGTCGATGATGACAGGTACTGACAAAATGACGATTAGAGAAAGCCCCCGTACGATTAATCTGCTCAGTCTAGTTGACTCTAGGCTGGAATGGTTGGCTGCGACAGATCTGTTTCGACTATACAAGTGGACGCAAAGCAGGGAGTTAGTGTGAAACGCTTTCGACCAATGGCTGTCTGAGCAAGCCGTGATCGGCAAGTCAACTGCAAACTCTGACATGAGAGGTTAAATGGGAATTTACAAAAAAGAAGGAGAATATCGTGGTAGTGGGACGTTCACTAAACACCCTACGGGACATACACGTCCTGTTGTGCCTTGCGGTTCAGGCTCGGGCCTCTCTGTCCGTCGTACAGCGGCCAGTACCATAGGCAGAATAATGTTATCGAAAAAGACAGGGAAGATTGACACGGCGATTTTGCGGCTTATCAGCCGCCATCAGGCAGCCCTACTGAATCGCAAGTGTTATTACCCCTACAATCACTGTCTAGATACCCGATCGCAAGTGACAGTACAACGTATCTGTTAGAACGTTCTACTTTTAACCAACAGACTGCGGGGTCCGGCTTCATGGATCGCAACTCCTGCCGTTGGGTATGACCGGCTGATCATGGCTAGTAAGCCAAAAATGATCGTTCTAATCCTGCTTGCCTTGTTGGGTAATTTTATCCTGCCAATGTGCTCATGGCTGCCAACGACTGAGTCAAATCGGAAACCGCAGCTTACCAGTAAACGCGAATACTACCAACTGCCTTCAAGGACGTCGAAACACACGTCTAGCATCTCTTTAAAAAATATTATTCAAAACAAGCAAGCAAGCAATAAAAAAACGGGTTGCACATAGAATTACCTGAATGCAGTATAGGGTCCTCGGGGCTCAGTGGACTTATGAAAAAGTCCAGCGGCAAGCTAAAATGATAAGCGGAGAACAATGCCGTAAACTTCGAGAAAGTTAACAGCATAAGATGTGTTTCGCGATTAATTTTTAGGAGGTTTGAGCGAGTTCGAATGCAGTATCAGCGAAGAAAACACGGCTGACAAAAATTGAATTGCAGAAATACACGATAGGATTTTGTCCGTTGCAATTTTTCTCTAGTAAACTTCACAACAAAGGCACTGAAGTTAAGAGATGAATCTAAAGCAATAAGACAGTCTTATCAACAATGAGTGGTTCTCAACAGTTTAGCTTAAACAATAACCTAGCTGGAAGGCAAATCTCATATGCCTTCTGACACAAACGAGGATCGACCAATTAGTGAAGTTTAAAATTTAGTCAAAATTGTTGAAAGTAGATTTAACAACGTTTTCGGGACACGCTTAGTGAGCACAGTACGCGGAAACCACTTAAAATACTTCTTAGGGGCTTGAAACATTGTTTTCCCGGAAGAAGTTTGAAAAATGCGAAGATTACGAGATTAGCAGAATTTATTGACAACATATAATTTCGCGACCGCTTGTTCAACTGTAAACGGTTATTTTCTATTAAAAATATGAGGACTGACTGTTACCCCGTCCTCTGTCCACCCCCTTTAACCATGTCTCACAGGCTTTCATGAACATGAACTGCCATGCTGTGACAACTACCCCCACCTCCTCCTCTACCCCCTCACCATGCGCCCACATCTAAGACTAATAACTTCTACTCTATTTATCTATCTATCTATCAAATTTCACCCTTCTAGGTCGACACTTAATTGGACAGTTAATTTTTCTTATTAATAGGCAATGAGCATTTGCAACTGAATAAGAGGTCGCGAAGCCATATAACGTCAATAAATCCTGCTAATCTCGTGAGCTTTGCCCTGTTTAAAATACGTCTGTCAAACAATTTAGGTCATGGTATTGTGGCCTTTAAATTTCTCCAAAAAGTAATCCGTAACTTGAAGTAAATCAGTAGATCAGTAGCTGATGGAGTTTGGGCCAAATATTTATATCAAATTTCGGTCTGCGCCATAATTTCAAACTTCGAGTATCTGCCAGAATTTTCACAGGGAATACTGGGGAGCTACCGATAGGCCAAACCCCTCGCAACTGTGTTAACAACGGCAAAATATTGGCAAAGCGATGTTTCAGCTTTTAGCTAGTATCTCTGTTGCCAATATGATAAATAATCACGAACGTCATGGTATTTTATTGACTAGGAAATTATGAAGCGCCTTTTACCAAACGGATTTAATCGATAAATGCAGGGGACACCACGGGGATCTACAGGTGAGCCAAACCCAGCGCAGTTTTGGACAAGATAAAACAAGTCTCGCGCCCTTGAAATTCCAAAATATATGGCTGCAGTTTACTTTCCTTGGATGGACGTTTGCATTTGATCATCAGCCTTGGAAATAACAATTTTGACAATATATTTACGATATTCACTTCCTTGGCATAAGTTGCTTCAATCAGCGTTTGCCTATATATATAAACAATGGTGCATTTGAAACTATGCTCACTTCCCTTATTTGCTAGGCGGCAGATTACATTCTAGAGAAGACGTGGAACCTTGATGCTGAAGAATAAAGGAATTTACTTCTATTAACATCCTGCAAAACCGATTCATTGTTTACCTTAAGTAAACAAGCTCCGTATCGGGGACAAAGGCAACCAATTACTCGGCCAGATTACGATAGCCAAGGCGTAAAGCGACAGACGTCAGCTGTGAACCATGTGCGCAGTGCAAGAATGTATGTTTGTGTTTCTGATCACGGATGGTGGTGGTGGAGGGTTATGATTGGCTGAATGAAGGCAGAATGAGCCAGAAACAGTTCTGTATCATTCGACCCATAATAGCCGCCTTCTGTCCCTCTGACAATGAGGCATGCTAATAGGGACAGGGTTGAACAGTAGTAAATAGATTAAGGGCAAAACAGGAAATACAGTTCAGGCATTTGCGCGTTAGTATGAGGTGACAGTAACCGGATTCCGACTCTATTGGCATCGTTCTAGAAGGCATCATGAACGACAATCAACGACGACGCTGGGGTGGTTTTGCGATGGCCGCATTAATGGAATAGAGTGTAGTCTGGCAGCTGATTGCAGCAGGAGGGGATGGCTGTAACTTAGTTGAACTCATTTTTGTCCTACGGACAGTCTAAGTGCCTGGAATTTCATACACCCGTATCTGCTACTGCTCTCTGATTATATCTCTGATGAGGAATCCGCGACGGATCTCGAAACGTCAGGCGAATAAAAGTATTGTCTCAGTGATCGAGTCGTCTTCTTCTCAATTTCATACACCGTCAATGTTAGGACGGTCGTAGAACTATTTCCGTATACCTAACATTTGCTGAATAATAATACTCGAAATTTCAAATGAATAGCCGATTTAACCGATTAGGTACGATGTGGGGGTGAATTAAGTCAGACTGTCCTCAAAGCAAACAAGCGTCTGCGACAGGTGTTATCATTGTTGTTGGTTCAGATGATAATGTGGAGAAAGGAGAGGAGGATGATCATGATTCAGAATTTACTTCAGAGCCAATGTTAAGAACTTCAAAAGGTTCCCATAAAGACAGACCAGTGGTAGTAAGAAATGACTAATATAGCAACAAGTGGTAGGGTTCCAATGCCAGTAACCGCGAAAATTCTAGGAAAATAAGGATTGATGGTCGGGGTTAAGTGTAGGCTTGGGAGTAGAGGTACGAGCAACGCTTGTGTTAGGACAAGATAATATTTACTTTTCCAGGAATTTAGCGAAAGACCATCTGTACTACGAAAGGGGCATTTCTGTTTTCGTGTCCTAGCGGGGGGCCATATAGGCAATTCCGAACAGACGTGCTTCTGGATTAAAACTCCCACTGCCTGCAAAAGCCTTGATAAATAGTCATACAAAGGTCATGTGTGCTTCCCTTCAAAGGCCTACAAGGCACACCAGATGGACCGTGCATAAAACTCCCCGAGTTATTTAGGCATTTTACCAAATACGACAGGTAAGGCGGCTTCTTTTCGAGCTTTGGATCGTCTTATCAAAATCAATGGGCAAGCAAAGGATACAAATCACTGAGACCCAACCACATGCATTCACAAGCCCC